CCAAGGACTTTGGGGGTGGGGAGTACTGGTTACGCAGTAGGTTGTTGGAGGGTCGCTTTGAATTGAGCTCATAAAGGAAATGGCGAGCAGGAGGGGAGCTGCCATTGAAGCTCCGCCCCCTGTCAGATCGGCAGCGGCATTAGGAGAACCTAACAGGAGCGCGCAGACGGGGTGGAGCTTTGCTGTCCGCTCACCTCCTGCTCACTCCTCATCTGTCCCATAGGCTCGGTCCTTCCAAGGCCCCGGGGTTTGGGAATCCCTGCCTTTGGGAACTGAATAAACTTCACATGCATCCCAGAGGCACCTCCTTAGTTTTAATGCCAAGTTTCAGGGGTCTGGAATTCACATTCTTGTAGATATGGTTAGAATAGACAAGCGTGGGCCTAGAGAGGGATTTAACATAGGTGGCACTTCAGAGAAAGACCAATTTGATTTGGCACTCATCAGTGGAGTTGGGCCTTGCCCACATTAAAATCTCATGAATTCCACTCACGCCCAGGGTCCTCACTCTTCTCGGTGCCTGCCCTCTTTTCTTTTTGCGCCCCCTTCTCTTTCTCTCCCCCCATCTCAGTCCTCGTTGTCCTTATTTGAGGATTACAATTCCCCAGCCTGTGTGACTCCCAATTATTGAGTCCCAAATATTGGAGTGCATCCTGCATAAAACTATGTGCAACATCACTCCGAAGGTATCACAAATACTTGGGGATACCCCTTAGGTTCCCAAAATTATTTCCAAGTATGCCACATACCCAGTTTTCATCGCAAACCTAGAGTCCGACTACATGGTCAAGGACCCTGAGATTTGTTCTGCTTGTGAAACGGGTAAATGTAATGTGTTTTTTCACTGACTGCGAGACACGAAGGCTGATTCAAATTGGTCAAGGCCTGTTGGCTCCCAAAGTGGCTCTTTTTTTTAAGCACCATGATTGTAATATGGAGGACTAGGTGCTAGTCCTGAATTCTTTCAAACCATACCTCACTTCAGTCTGCAAAAGTTTATATCAGAACAAACGTAATAGTTTTTTAAGTGCCATAAGATTCCTAAGTTTATATCAAACGTAATAGTTTTTTAAGTGCCATAAGATTCCTTGGTGGTTTTGCTACAAGTGACAACTATAGCAGGGTGTGTGTATTATGTGCTGTCATGTTGCATCTAATTTAGGTTAGGGTATGAACAAATGACTTCTTAAAAGTCATCTCAGGACAGTCCTACTCAGATCTTGCAAATGGTGGTTTAGACTTTCTTTCCTGCATCATTACTGTAGCTAGCAAGTAGTTTCACTTCTGGTTACTCTGGGTTTATAAAGGAAAACATGTTCTCTATTTAGAGAACAAAAAAGAGCAATTGGGATGATGAGATGATGTTATTTTCGAAGAAAGGGGAATGCTGACCCCAAAGGGGTTTTGACTGAGGAAATGTGGATCTCCATGGAGAACACTATTATTCTAAAGGCTACACTGCTTTGTTATAGCAGTTTTCCCCCACATTAAATGTACTGTAATGGCTGCATCCTAGGGGATGCTGGACTTTGTAGTTTGGTGAACTCTCTGCCGGAAAGCTCCAGTGCCCTCCTTTGTCCACAGCAAGAGTACCTCACCAAACAACAGATCCCAGCATTCCCTAGGCTGTAGGCGTGGTAGTTAAGAGGTGGAATGAACCGCAGCAGTCATGGAGCGTCGATGCATTTGAAGTATCCTGAAGCACAGCTGTCTGGGTCCTGATCTGTATCAACGTCAGAGGAGAAAAGTGAGCCCTTTGCTTGTCTACCCAAAGCCTTGCATCTGGAAGAGCCTCTTGACGATGGGAGATGACCTTGACTCTCCTCTTTGTGTTTCTTATCCAGGAGGTGCCCTTGGAGGTGC